AACATAATAGCAGCTTGAGGAGCACTTGTGAAGAACTTACCCTACAAACCTCCCCTCGGGACACGGCTGGGTGGCAGACAGACAGCGGCCCGATCCGGCGGTGGGGGTGCAGGCCCGGCGCGGTTCGAGCGCCGGATGCAACTGCTCGGGCTGAGGCTCGGCTACGGGGGAGCCGGGGATGAGGGGAATAAAGGCTGTGAGGATGAGGACGATGGGGAGCGGGTGGGGTGTCTTCATTGCGGTTTTGATAAAGGGCTATGAGGAGTGCTTCTTTGGGGTTGCGTGGGAAAGATATTGAGTGTGAGGATTGGTTCGGCGGGTTGGTCAGGTCGGGAGGCGGATAACAGCAGAGCGGTGAAGCAGAGGGTGTATGAATAGCCTTTTATATTCGAGCTGCTGGGACTAGGTATGAGCGTTTGCCGGTAATGGGGCTGTATTCGTAAGTGATATACATCGTGTTCGCTTCCCACGTATTCACCATGCTTCGCCAAGACTGGATGCGATTGGAGGTTGACTTTTGAGTTGGGCATTAGATGCCAGGGGGGTGGATTTAGTCAAACTTTCTGGGGTGGAAGGAGGTAGAAGAGTGATGGATTCACAGTAGCGGTGAAAGAGGTTAAGTCTAACCAGTCGCTTAAGCCTGCAGGCTGGTATATCGAGATGGCTTGTGATTGGTTACATAGGAGATCGGGGTTTATCCCTGGGTCGAGGGTAGGTTAATTCTTGAGTTTAAGCCATGGTATTTATAGAGCTCCAGGATCGTGTTCGGCAATCGAAATTAATCGAATAAAAGTACAGGGGTCTTCAATCAGTATTGCTGCTTCACTGGCGACTAAATTCGCAATGCCGACGCCCACGCTGGTTCCAAAATTTTTGACGTTTCGGATTCGGTCTGTGAGCTGGTGCCTTACAAGCTCTGAAAATCAGCTTGTGTACAGGTCTGGAGGAAAATTGGGTGATGCAGCACCATGCATTACACACAACGGCGACCAGACCATATGTAAAGACCAGCCACCAAATATGGGAGCTGGCATATAATCAACTTACCGGCACGAATGCTCGGGAGCAGACCAGATGGGCATCGAAGTCCTAAGGATAGCTCAACAGACGTATACAGGAATACCTCCCATGCCGGAAAGGCCCAGTGATGCTGACAATCCTGATCTAACCAGCCGAGAGTTTTTTCACATAAGAATAGACCATTTCCAGATATCTTGAATCTTATTCAGAGACTGTCTCTTGTCCATGGTCTTTGGATTTCAGTGAATCCAGCGGGATGAGGTACTTGCCTCACAGTAGCCAGATCGCTTCTGAGCACAGCTGATTTCGAAATCAGTTGGACAAGGACGCCAATGCTGGGAAACTCCGAACGACTGCGGCAAAATTCAGCATCGTACGGCACAGCCTGGAAAGATGGATGACGCAGTAATTGGACACTGCCAAGTGATGACTGGTGAGATTCTCTGTGGACGGAACACCTCATAGTCCGATGTGTGCAGCAAAGAGTTCGAACCATTTTCAGACTCGGCCAGACTCATTTGTAGCTCCCTGAAACTGAGTCCATCAAGGGGTGGCCAACAATAACCGACCTTTGAGTACCGTAGTTTTCGACCGAAGAATATCTTTGCTGGTAGGACTAGTGCAATGGATCAAGTAACTTGATTGATTCTAACGTAGTGTAGAGCAGAAGAAGCTGCTGAGCAGCAGCAAGAGCTAATCTAAGAGGCAATGCCAAGCAAGCTAACGGATCGCACGTGACAACTAGGCGAAGCGAAGGGTCACCAAATATTTTGTAGCTATATATATAGACACTATTAGCAATATGGCAGAGAGTTAGCTGAAAAATGAGAGAGTCTTGGAGCCCACCCCGAAAGGGATAATATTTTTCAGCGATGGAATTGCGCAGCAGGCAGAGGTTTGTAGGGACTGATAGCACTCATCGATACTTGCGCATTCCAGGAGACGAGGATGCTGAAACTTTGGTAAGTCGATCCAAGGATCAATCGAAAGACCGTTCGGCATCATCCTGGCTACTGACTTCAAGAAGAGGTCAACGCGTCTGCAAGAGCCTGCCTATATCGGTTGGCGAGTGGATAACCAAATATCCCACCTACCTTGTTCTCAATCCTTGCGCCAAGTAACTGGAGTCTGCTATAGGTTTCAGACCATCTAAAACGCTCGACTGTGTATTGGTTTGAATTTCATACATAACTGAAGAGCGAATAAGTACCCTATGCTGCGATGTAAAGCAACAAGATGCTTAGGCACAAAACGCACTCGGCCTAAATTGGCTAATCTTTCCTATTTACTACGGGGGGCCTGAAGTAATGCTAGCTTAGCTCAGCGCTAGTATCTTTACTTGCAAACCTTCTCTGTACAGAACAGCTATGCCTGAAAAAGTTAGATGTAATGATTTGACTCACCAGAATGGATGCACACAGAACAAGCTTTGAGGTGGCGAATCATAACACTAGGTTGTCATAATAAGAGCTAGTATTTCTTAACGCCAAACTAACATTATGTTGGGCATAAGTAATGTTAGCTTGGTGCTAGTAACGCCATGTAAAGATATAACGCCACATAATTGCCTCTTGCCGTAGTTGGTATAGGATGCCCAGAAGTCACTGAATTAGGACTAGCTTCCTTGAATTCCCAATATTAAGTGTGCATTCCTTTGGTACAGAGCGAAATTCTGTGCATCTCATAGAATTGCGCAGAATAGCAGCAGAGGTATGGTACAAGGGCGGCAAGGGTATCTGTATCAAGAGCATTAGAAGTGGTGAATACTAGCACGGAGCTAACATTACTTCTCCCGACACCGTAGTACTTCATGCCCGGTAGTACTTCAAAATACATAAGAACACCTAACAGATTCTGTCGATAACCATTACTTTGAGCAGCTGCTAGCTCAACGTTCAAATTGGGACTCTCGACCACTTGAAAAGGTAATTGGTGCTCAATCAATTGAACCGATACTAGAACTACATTGACACGGGTTTAGACAGTCCTTGATGATGACTGACCTTTTTGGTCCCTACTCGAAAAATTAGATCAACTCGAAAGTTTGAAAAGTAAGTCCGCCTTCCTCAAGAACGCCTTTTTGCAGCCTTGGATCAAAATCCTCTGCCTCTTCTGCTACTTCTTCGTTTATAAAAATGGTGCTTATATGAGCCCTATCGTGAGTTTTCGCTTCCAACCCTGTGGCAGAGATCCAAGTCTTGGATCCTCGATGTTCATTTCTCCTGTGACGGGGTCGACATAACATCCGCAGTAGGAATTTGAAGCTTTATCCAATCGTGTGACACGTCTGAAATGCCCCGGAAGAGGTCCTAGCAAGGCCTCGTTGCACATGAGGCCTTGGACATAGCATTCTCCGACGACTTTGAACTGTCCATCCTTTGCCGGTCGGATGAGCAAAGGGGAGTCGCAGCCGAGAAACACAGAAAGCTGATCGCCTGGCATAGCAGATATGGGACACACACCTATGTGTCCTCGAACAGTATCGAAGAATGAATAACTTCTGCAAGTGTCCGAGGCGTAGTCGAGGTATATTTTCGCGGCAGGTGAAATATCCGCCAATTTGCCAGTCTCAGATTTGAGAATGTCTTTGAGAACTGCTTGAGCCGCTTGGATATTGGGGAGCGTTTCATTTGATGGCATGTGCCGATCTGACAATCGGTTGCAACAGATGGTCCGACAGTATGCCTCAAGTACTGTGGTACCATCGAAATACAAATTCTCCATATTCCGAGTGCTTGCGAAGCGCCTTGCGGCTTTAACAATATTGTGGTAGGGAAATTTGGAATTTTCAGGGGGAGATAAGTCAGATACCTCATGAACTGTGCTTACCGTCAATCCCGAGACCTTCAAAATATCTTCATCGTAATATTCGACGCTACAAACTGAATCTCCAGTGGCTCTCACGTTGATGATGGGTCGAGCCCTGCTTAGAGCCGCAAAATTTGGTACCCACGATGGGAGATATGCCGCAGCGTCGTCCAGTTTGCAAAGCAAGAGGATGTTCAGGCGCTTTTGCTTTTTAACGTATTGCGTCACCAGGTCAGTAAATACTTTTCGTGTCGATTTAGTGTAATCAGGCACGATATCCAGATCAGCATCCGGCTTGTGAAGCATACCTAACATGCTGTAGACCCTGTCTCTCGGATCAGTACACTTACTGTGCCGAGTCTGAAACATCATAGTTTTCAAAGAGCTATAGCCGTAATAGTCAACAATCTCGTAAGCCCTGTCTATGAGATTGTGGAGTTCAGGAAACCCTGTTTCCTGTCTCTTGTACCGGATGCAGTATAACGCATCGCTGAACTGTTTCCATAGTAACATGTCGAAGCCACATGCGATCACTGCATGGGGGTTGGCCAGCCTTATCTCTTGCCATACCCATAAGCGTTCAAACCATGGACGTTTGAGAAGATGAGCCATTGCGTGCCATATCTTCTGATCGAAAGGAAGAAAACAATGTTGATCCCCCCAATGAGAGTCTGACGGATCATCCGACCGAGATCTCATTGCTCCGTGTCCGCTTCTGTCAACGTCTATCTTGAGTGAGAGGTCTCTCCAGGTACTGAGTGCCAATTTGGTCTCAGGTGTTTCGAGCCCAAGCCAGACGACCACGCGTTCGGCATTTCTGTAGACGTGAGCCATGTGCTGAACCTGGCGACTTCGTTCATCTAGATCTGCTTGGTTGACACAAATTGCGTCGATCCAAAACACACGAGGCCTATCGCAATATCTCAAGTAAGGTAAGAGTTCGGCAAGATTCTTTGTGATGTCGATGGCGCCATCGCTTGAAGGTAGAATATATAGAGAAACTGGGTTCGATGTGTCTCCCCATACATAAGACAGTGCTTCATACTTGGGTACTTCGTTCTCGGTAAGTCTGACGGCGTGGAGAGAACATTGGATGTTTGACTCAAAACTACCCGGGTACAAAGTCAACAGTCTGATTTCGCTGTTGTCTTCGATCAATGGCAGATAGGAATATGGTGCCATATAGAAGGTGTTTACTGCAGAGACAATGTCTATGCGCTGTAAGAAGGTAGAGATGGGATCATGGGGGGTTAACCGCAAGGAAAAACTCTTGGTTGACCTCTGACAAAACCCACGCCAATAGCTCGTCCCAGGATAGCGAATTCGGAAGATATATGAGCGGTGTATATAAGAACAGGGTTTCGAATCCTTACTCTATCTTTCAGGTGCTGTGAGTTTCAATGAGACAAAATCTTGGCCGAGTAGTCCGCGGATGCGGGTGTTAAAGGGATCGCTGTAGATAACTATTGGAGCATGCGTCTTATTACATGTGGCGCTAATTGCGGTTCTCCGTAACGATTTTAGTATATGACCCGGGCTGAAAAGATATTAGAGGTGATACTTCTGTAGACTCTAAAGATGAGGCTGAGTCCCCTCAATTTCAAGGTTAACTTGAAAGCTCCTGGAGTCCAAAACAACTTCCCGCTGCGGGAGCTGAGACGGCGGCCTAGTAGTTAAGAAGGGGAGGACATCCTGCGATGGAAGCGGAGGCGGAGAAGGGAGGAAGAGTAGTCGAAGCCAGAAAAGAAGAAACGTTGGAGGGGCTAGATGAGCAGCGAGATGGAGCTAAACCTCACGAGCGAGGCTAAACCAGAAGAGGCAGAGCATCAGAAACCAGACAAGGCTTGAGAAGAAAAGATAAGGAGAGGAAAGGCTCCAAGCTCCGAGTTGCCCTTCTTTTCTGCCTCAAGCATAATACGGTCTGAACGAAGACGATAACATAAGAGATACCCTGGTTTACACATCTATTTATCTCATTCACTGCTATATAGCTATAGCAGCTATGTCCTGGCGTGCTGCAGTACTAACACGTCGTCATACTGCCCCCTTGTTGGCTATTTACCATTCTCAGCAAGTTCTCTACTCACGTATGCAAGCTTGTTACCCTCCTAGCTTCAGTTCAATTGCAAACATGGACTTCCCGTCAGAAACAAAGTCTGCATCCACAAGCTCAACTCCCTTTAAGAGTTCAAATGATGACCGCATCGTTGTCATCGGTGCCGGCGTCCTTGGCCTTTCCATGTGCACCCTTCTGCAATCCCGTCTTCCAGCCCGCCTTGTCACCCTCCTCGCCGCTGAGCTCCCATCTACGTCCCCTGACTCATCGCCTGCTTACACTCCCTCCTATGCCTCTGCTTGGGCTGGCGCGCACTACCGGCCCATCTCTCCCTCAACACCACAATTACATGCTGAATTCAAACTCGCGCAACGTACATTCGAGATCATGAAGCGCATAGCATCAGAGAAGCCAAAGGCAGGCATAAAACTGATGCAAGGGGTGGAGTATTTCGACAGGCCGGGAAAAGGGGAGTTAGGGATGAAGGACGGAGACGTGTATGCGGGGCCTGAGGATGGATTTCGAGTTTTGCAAAAGAGCGATTTGATGGAGGGGGTGAAGTGGGGTTGTGAATATGGGACTTATTGTATTAATGTGCCGGTGTATTGCGGGTATCTGTTGAAAGAGTTTCAGGAAAAGGGTGGAAAGATCGTTAGTCGCAAGATTGGGGACGTAAAGCAGGCGTTTAGTTTGAACGAAGACGAGATTGGAGGCGAGGTATCAACGGTGGTGAATTGTTCAGGGACAAATTTTGGAAAGGATCCGAAAATCAAGCTCATCCGTGGCCAGACCGTTTTGGTCAAAAATCCATATCATAGGACTGTCACTCGACAGTATGCGGATGGGAGATGGGCCACCTTGATTCCTAGACCGTTGGATGGAGGGACTATTGTTGGTGTCACGAAGGAGATTGGTGATGAGGAAGAAACAGCCAGGCCAGAGATAAGACAGCTGTTGCTCAAGCAGTCTATTGAGTGTTTCCCGGACTTTGTAGAGAAGCTGGAGGACTTTGAGGTCATCTCGGATAATGTAGGGAGGCGGCCTTTTAGGGAAGGCGGGTTGAGGATGGAGGTTGAAGAGCTGGACGCCGGACGGAAGCGCATAGTACATGGATACGGAGCCGGTGGTCGAGGGTATGAACTCAGCTGGGCAATCGCCGAGCGACTGGTTGAGCTATTAAATCCAGGTGGCTCTGTACAAGCGACGACGGTGTTACCGTGATCTTGGTACCTTGTCTGGGGCGTTCTGTGAGTCTTTTGATGCTTCCTAGTTCCTCTTAGGGTTCGTTACGGCGACCAAGTCTTATCACTTCTTCGATCCTCATCTCTTCTTGTTCAGTGGTCTACCTTCGGTCTTCTCCAGCTCAGCCAATTTGGTCTCCTCTTCGATCAATCTCTTCTTCTCTTCTGTAATCTGGTTTTCAACCGTCTTGATAGCAACACCCAGCCGGTCCAACTCCCTTGACTCCTGCTCTCGGCTGTAGACGTTGTCTTTGCTGATTCTTTCTGGTATTTCTGCGGTAGGCATTCCTCTCGCGGACGCTTTCCCCATCTTTGCGCTGGCCTTCCCTCTTACATTTGTACCTCCCCCAGTCAAAACATCATAAAACTGCTCCACCGGCTCATTAAACAGAACCTCCTCATAACAGATGCTCTTCACCATCTCCCTGCGCTCCTTCTTCCCTTCAATATCATCGCCGTAAGGATGCAGCTTTAGCCCATGCCAAATAGACTGTGGCTTCTCCGTGCTCTCTGGCACAAAGTAGAACTTGATAGCAATTTCGAACTCACCCCAGCCCGTCTCCTCAACCTCAAATGGAGGGCCTTCAATCATACGGAGACTGTTAGGATAGGTGTCATGAAGCTTGAATTGAACCTTCCTCAACCAGTAGGAGATGTCTTCATTGTTGATGCCGCGGACAAAGACTTTCCATGAATGTGTATGATCCGCCGGTGCATTCTTAGGTCGGTTGGCTGGGTCAAAGGGGACTGCTTCGGTGCCGTAGACGAAGGGACGGTGAATCTGGACGCCCTGATGTTTGTGAGATTCTCATCAAGTCTGTAGGAACATGAGGATGGCACTTACTCGCACACGTTTCGTTCCTGCTGGAGCGGGCATCGTTACGGATTACTGGGCGAGGAGAATCCGTGGAATCGTATCATCTGTGCAGTACATAGGCATTTAATTTAAGCAAAGTTGCATGTCTTGCAGGAAGGAAAATTACCCGCGCATAGAGGCGGATAAAGACGCCGCACGAACACTTGGTCCAAGCTCCAAGCTCATTCTAGTGATGTCAATATGTATCCAGCTGGAAATAATTTCTACATCAAACACTGACTCACCTGTATAGTTCTCCTCTGAGGTCTATCTCGTGCTTTGTGTAATCACAACCACTCCAGGTTCTATGATCAATCCATTATGACGACGAACGTGAAGAAAAGCATCGTGGTAGCTGGGGGAAATGGCTTCCTGGGATCTCGAATCTGCAAATCAGCAGTGGCACGTGGATGGGATGTAACATCCATCAGGTATGCTGCTGGAATATTTCCAAATAAGACTGTCTAAGTTTTGATCTAGTCGCTCCGGTGAGCCCTCATGGTCGTCCGTAACTTCCTCATCCACTCCACCACCCTGGGCCACCTCCGTCACCTGGGCCAAGGGCGACATACTCAAACCATCCACCTACACAACCTGCCTCAAATCTGCCGATGCGGTCGTCCACAGCATGGGCATCCTTCTAGAAGCAGACTACAAAGGCGTCATTACAGGCAAGGAGTCTGTATTCTCTGGACTCTCCAGAGCATTCAGCAGTACGAAGTCTGGTAGTAGTGGGAACCCGCTCGAGAGGGAGCCAGGCGGAGAACTTGCCGCAGGGGAGAGAGATGGACAGCTGACCTATGAACTGATCAATCGGGACAGTGCAATTGCACTGGCGCAGGAGAGTCAGAGGGAGGGCGTGAAGTGCTTTGTCTTCATTTCTGCCGCGGCGGGTGCACCAATGTTGCCGCAGAGATATATCACGACAAAGCGAGAGGCAGAGACCACCATCGCGAGCGAGCTGGTCAAGTTGAGGAGCGTCTTTATTAGACCTGGCTTCTTGTATGATTCATCAAGAAAATTCACTCTGCCCATCGCCGCCTCAGGCATGGTAGGCTCGGCCGTCAATGGAATTGTGGGTGGCAGCCTAACGAGCATCTTTGGTGCAGCTGTCGAGAAGCCGTTGAAGGCCGATCTAGTGGCTGAAGCGGTAGTTGAAGCCATCGCAGATGAAGACACGAAAGGCGTGGTAGGCACAAAGGATATCGAGGCACTAGCCGCGAAAGCATGGCGAAAAACAATGTTGTAAAATGGTTGCACACTAATACTAAGTTCGAAGATCTTCTCCTACATCCTTTAGCCTCCGCACTCGCTGCGTGGAAGAAGCTCCTGACTCGGAATAAACACGGTACCTGGTAATGGAAAGGCTACGACTAATCGACTCCGAGCTCCTGGGCGTCTTCTCCTCTAGATCGCAGTACTCCTGATGTAAAGGCCGTTGTTGGTGCAGTAACAGACCCGCCTCTTCTTGTGCTCTGGCAATGGCGTCGCGCTCCGCGCATTTCGTGCATGGGCGCTGCGGACGCTTATGCCAGAAGTTGGGTCCGCCGCAGGGGTAGGTACCTTTGCCGGCTAGACCCTCGGGACAATCCTCGATGCCGGTCTTGCGGTGGCCGCAGAGGTAGGTCGTGTAATAGGATTTTGCACATTGTTGTGGGAGGGACTGGATTTGGGTTATGCCTGGTGCGCTCTGATGGGATGGAAGGCTGGGGTTGGTGGAGGGCAGGAGGGTAGATGATTGTGTTAGTTACTTATCAAGGGACAGACACTTACAACATTCTACAGAAGAAAGGTATCAAAGTACATCATCGTTCGCATTGTTCTCCTTTGTCTCACTCTTTGTGTTTAGAGTGAATACATTGATGCCTCCAAACTTCCTTTGCGATCAGAGAGACATCATTGTCGAAGGAAGTGTGATGTTCCAGCATTGGCCAACCTCAAAGCCAACAGTAGCCAGATCTCGCCGTCGAAGCGAATCCCATGGCCTCCTGACATGAGTAGAAGCCCGAGAGAATTCTGCCGGCCGCCTTAACGTGGTAACGCTAACGTTGCATCGTGTACTTCTTTCTCTTTGACTTCGGCACATCCTCGACCATTTCATCTCTCATTTGGCGTTCGGACTTCAAAGCCTTGTTGCGATCTCGTAGCACTTCTCGAGTCAACCTTGGATGAGCTTGGATGAATTCGATGTCATCAAAGGCGGTGACGATGTCGAAATTGTGGATAATGGTCGTGAGAAAGGTATCCTGATATTCCTGCAAGGGTGGTATCTCGTGCTCAAAGTACAGAGCCTCCGAGAAGGCAGATGTTAGCCTCGCGTGCATATCTTCTAGTCGGCTAGCCCAATGCACAAACGCCAACAACCTTTTTTCTATTTTCTGGCCTGCTAACGTGGCAAGATCGGATACTTGATATTTGTCGGCTGTAACAAGAACATCTGAGAGGTGTTTGACGTCGTTCGCCAGTGTTTGTAGTTGTTGAGGGCGGTCCCGGATCTTTTCGTCGGCGTCTATAAAGCGCGAAACCTTAATGGCCGGATCAATGTAACGAAGCCTTCTACCGTGGATCGGAAGGACATTGATATGATCAGAAAGCGTATATAAATATGTGAGCAACTCGTCGATAGCCTGTGGCTCATCTTCATCCATCACAATGATGCCGCTCGATTGTTCCTAAGTGCAACTATGAGCACAAAGCCCGGTTATCTGTGGAGGCGACATACCTGAAATCCCCACCGCATAGCACCCGCAAAGAAAGGGCATCGCTGCGCTAGTATGGCCTTTTGCACAGCCCACGTCCGCTCCCGACAACGAATCTCGAGGTCACTATTCTCCCCTGATCGCAAGAGCCTGGCCAAGTACCAATGAATATATCTTTAAGGTGACATTCAATGTACTTACTTTAGCTGAGCATCATCAATCTGACCTCTCCTGAAATCGTCCGTCTTTGGCTCATTCGGATCTTGACGACTGTTTCGCTCAGTCCTAGTCCTAGCATTTAAATTCAGAGGCACAGAATCGGAGTCTTCAGAATCGGACATTGTATCGCGAAAAGATTGCACCGATGCCTAGCTCCTAGCGAGGTCGAGAATTCTATGTATTGTGGTTATCACATTCATAGAATGCATAGGTCTAATCAAAGAAATATCAGGTCTAACACACAACTCAAGAAACAGAGGTGCATATTCACTTATAGCTGAAGTCTTGAGAACACCGCAATTCTCAGAATCAAACCCATTTAGAAGAAGACGAAGATGCAATGCGCATTACATCACCCCAAATGAAATGAGGTTGCAATGAGTTCTGAACATAGAGAAGGAAATTAGAACGTACGTCTACTTTGGATACCTTCGCCCATGTAAGGTCGAGGCCAACAAATGATAGTTGATCTTGAGAGCATAAAACTGGGCTCGAGGCGGGCTTCGAAGACCAGCAACGCCAGAGATGTCTCTGGTATCGGTGCGTGCGCCCCCGGTTTGTCCTATGAATGAAAGATTCTCGTGGAGTGGTGTTAAAGCCCACGTAATGCACCAGAGACGATCTTTGGAAGCTTGAAATTAGGTACTGCACTTGGTACGATGAAGGATGGTTTGTTAACGTGCACTTTACTCAGCATACCACAGAATTATATATGTCTGGCAATACGTTTCCATCATTCCGGCGAAGACATTATGAAGTTATTGAACGTTGATTGGTGGTAGACAGTAGCAGAAGAGAGTCACCATCCTGAGCCGCAATTATCATGTCATGCCACATGGCTCTTTAAGTCGAAGAAGCGGTGAAAAATGCATGTGGTCATAGCAAAACAGGAAGCAATTGGAGTAACGTGTAACAGTAAGAGAACCGTGGATTGTCCAAGGTCGGATCATTCCAGGTCCGCTTCCTGAGTTAGCCACTGACTAGGCCTCAAACAGGTCAGATATTATTGCGGCCGCGAAGACAACCGTGCTTTGGACTTGGAACAAGGATCGAAAAAGAGGATATAATGGCTGATCTGGGGCAAGGACTTACTCTGGTATCACTGTGGAATGAGAGGGCAATAGAAGTAACGCCAAGAAGGTATTCGTCTTTCTCGTAGCTACTAATGCCTTGGTCTCCGCCACGATCGTGTCCACAGCTGCGTTGTCAAATTTGCGAGGTGTGATTCAAGCTTAGTAAGGGCGTAAGTGTGAACACCATCTACCGAGTATACCGGGATGGGTTGCTGAAGGCCAAGAAATGTTCACAGACTTTCCAATTTTGGGAAGTGGACTTTTGCGTATATGAATACACGTGCCCTTACGGAGTACATGTAGCGTCTTCGCGGTTGTCGCAAATGCGGGGCGAAATTAGGACCGACCTTTCGTCATGAGAAGTGCGGTCAAGGTCTTCATATTGCTCGCGCGTTCGTTTGGATGAGCACGGAATACTGGGCAACTAGCCACTGGTCTTTCGCTATGCATTGATGGACTAGAGAATATCGATAAATGGGTAGGCTCCTTGGATGCGTTGAGAAGCTGCAGACGCGTCGAGCCGAGGTTTTAACGACTTGGCACTCTCAGGGGCTCTCGACAGCATACCATGTTCGCATTCTCGTGTCATCGCCTCCGTACATTCCTCTTCTCTGCAGAAGGCTTTATTCCTTGCTGATATCATATCTCCTCTTCTGTCTGAAAGACAACATGATGAACCGTTGGGACGATCTTGGTAAAACTCCCTGCTCCCTGCCCCCGCAGTACATCTCATACATAGGTGACGAAGACCACCCCTTCAACACCCCCAACTTGAGGTCCTAAAATGCAGAGATGCAATTCAAGAGCTTTATTCGTCGAGTGCTGTAATGTCTAGCACCAGTTGTGAGTGGCAATAAGCAAGGGGTGGTATTTGTGGAAGCAGTGTTGAATGGCATGAGTATGAGTTATGATTTTGGTGTGAGAAGTAGTAGATGAAGAAGCTAAGTGCTACGTACAAGTTGGGATGAGATAAAATAGCAAGTAGTGCCAAGCCCACGCCAGCCAAGTGCTCCTGCTATGCCCCTCCTATGCTCCTGCAACAAGCAGCAAACAAAAAGAAAACACACCAAAGAGTCCCTTAATCCTGCTTTATAGCTATCTGATCGTTTAGGACACCTAAAGTGCTCTGTACGATGTTGCTGTTCTGAGCATGTTTATGCGCTATGAACAGATGCCAAACCAGGGTCTGTTTAGACCATTCGCTACTGGAAACTGACTTCGCCTGGACCGTTCTTCTCTGCCTTGTCCTATCAATTCTTCGGAACCTCGACACTAGTCTTGCCATTCAGGTTCAAATACTCTTTCCACTTCCCTTTTCTTCGTTTGGAACAGATCTCCAATGAGACTTTTTATTGTTCGCTCTTTCTCTTGCACTTTGTCCTGCATCTTTTTTCCATGCTCCCCATCACGGTCAGCCCTAGCTTAGGATATTTCTTCATGTGCCCCTCAGTAATAAGCTTCTGTGCGATGTCACCCTTCGCTCGGATGATAGCACGAATAAACTGGACCTGATAAACTTCTACTGCTGAGGAATCTCGATTCGGGTAGAGTGCTTCCAGTAGACTAGAGAATAGCTCTTCTGTCATGTAATTATTCACGTACCGGAGACCCCACAATATTCCGGACAACTGTTGGTCGATTTTCATACCAGCCGCTTCCACGAGCGCAGGCACCAAATACATGTCTGCCGCAATCACAACAGAAATGAGGTGTTTCAGCTGCCCCGATAATTCCTTGTGGTTAATAAAAATTGCCATGTGGCCGTCAAATGGTCTTGAACGGTTAACTGTGTAAATAGACTCTAGTAGGACGTTGATGATATCTAGATCCTCGCTATCCAGTGTGAGAAGTCCAGTCGATTGCTCCTGCTCCATTTGATTAGCCCCACCAAAGACTGAGACGACGGCGTAACGCACGGAGAAGCCAGACTGCGCAGCAGCCCGAAAGTACTCGCACCTCTGACCCAAGAGGCCCTTGTTGACCTTCCAGATTCGGTCTTGACATTTGATTGTGAAGTTAGAGTCCACGCCAGAGTGGAGATAGCTGGTGATAGGTAAGTGAATGACGATGAACAATGCGTAGAGGATTACTAAAGTTGAGCATCAACGATCCCTCCAGGTTCAAATTTCATGACGAACGGTTTGCTCGCACGGTATCGCAGACTGACAATCAAGGATTTCTTCATCTTAGGAGTATCGAGAGAGGGTTGGGAGTTCGAACGCTCTGCTATTTCAGAGTGTGCCGAGTCTTCATTATCAGAGCTTGCAGACATTGGTCAACAGCAGGCAAGGCTTCATAGAGACAGAATCGAGTAGGTGACTAAGCACAACAAAGAAGTTAAGCAGCTTTTGCAGATGTGTAATCTAGCAGTAAGGTTGAGATAATGAGACTGTTCTAGCCAGGTGCAATCGAGTGTTAGAAGTCACGCGCTTGAAGCTTAAAAAGAGTCTGTGGTAGTCACGCAGGATGATATGTCAAATATTGCAAAGCGAGTGAGCTTGATACAACACTGAAAAGAAGCGATTCACAAGGGATCATTGCTAGTGTTGGGACGAGCGCTCGCAGTGGTTACTGGGATGGGAGCGGCTTCTCTATTTCGTTCTTTTAGCATACAGGAACCTTGAACCCATTTCTCAGAAAACTGGGCGCATATGGAGCAAGATTGACAAGATCACACGCGCGCATCGGTTCAGCTTCCTGCGAATGATCGTAGCGTTGAACTTGCCTAATCGAAGGCGTCTGCTTCGATAACTGGCACCGGTTTCGTTAAGCAAAGCTTGACGTAAATAGTGGCAACAAAAATCAAGCTACTCATCATTGAACAAACAGGTAGCATTTTGTAAGGTCATAGGCATACCGCCCCATAGAAACAATCGTTGACTGCCAGAGAAGATGGTCAGCTGAACTAAGCTGGAAGGATTGCTAGCGCTGCCAAGCCCAGCTAGGTCAGGAGCACCAATAATCTACTTCAATACAGAGTATATTGAGAAAGAAGGCGGAATTTAAGTATCCATGAATCATTGTTGTGAGCCGACATCACCTCGAGCAGCTTTACATGCTCAATGCTACACGAACAAGTAGAGCTCCACCTGCATGCGCAAGCCACTTTGGCGTAAATGCTATCGTCCCAAGGGAAGACGACACCTCTCCGGCCTCCTCGGGTCCTGTACAGGAAGCTCTTTACGAAATCTACGCTTATGCATGTGTTTACTACGTGTTCTCCAAGTTGGGTCATCTTCTGAACATTCCCGGTAATGGTCCTTGTGGAGAAGAGCTGTATTGCCCGCTTCGGAAACTGTTCACATAAAGTAACCTCTAGTCAATTACACCTTCTCCAGTCTTGTAAGTACATTTGAGAAACACAACTGCGCTTGTTGCAGGAACATACCAGGTGTCAAACTTTCATCACCCTGTCACATTTCCCCTCCATGCTCACTTGACTCAAGTGCACTGGTTAGCCAATACAGTATGAGTGGGAGGACACGCATCAAGCGGGACTGGGCTCAGTGTACCGGAGCGCTGTCTTAACGTCGTTGCTATGGGAGTTTTGCTGTTGAGTTTGAGCACTCTCTCGTTTCCTTCTTATGTGCGCCATCTGGGAACGAAAGTAGTTGATGTGAGCTAGACACAACTGAGCATAAACAAAAATTGATCTCAAAATCAAAAGGCTGCAGCTACGACATGACCCATACTGCGCCAGATCAGCTGAGACTTGGAGCCTAGAATGGCAAGAGAGACATCTCCTTTACACAAGGCTCATGGAGGAGTTGTTGTTGCGAGTATTCAGTGTCAGGTTCTCGAATAGCAAGCCTACCTCAGGCGCACTCGATCTCCGTTCGATTTCCGCGAGAAGCTCACCTTCATCAGCAAGCAGTACAACATTGGTAGCCAAAGTGCACACGACATGATAGACACCATCCATTTTCGTGATGATCTGTACTCCCTCGCCTGCTGGAACCTGTCGACTGATATCCGCAAGGACATTCCTGACGGTCGGCTGAATTATCACGTCAGAATTCTGAAGGAGTCGCTCGTGCTTGTTGACTTCGTCAAAGCGGTCCATCCACCACTCCTTGAAGACTGCGTTCGCGTCAGCGTACTGGATAAGCAGAGAATCCTGCATCATAGTTCTGAGCTTATGCAAATATTTGCTGCATTCAGTCTGCAAGTGGTCGAACTGCTGGGTTACCCGATCATAAATCGCTGTCCAATGGAGAGTAAGTTGATATTGTGCACTCACTGGACCCAAAACGAGTCGAGCAAGCTCATCGCTGATGCGATCAACCTCCTGAGAGTACTCAGGTCGAATCTGGCAAAATGTGACAAGCCCGTGACCAGAGAACATAACGTCGAAGCTTTGACGGAAACATAGAGAGACATCAGCCATAAGGCAGTTGAGGCTTCTGGCCTCGTTGGCTGCCTCGACTATCCTTTCCAGTACGACATTTTGGGCGATTGTGAGTCGGACTTGGTCGAATTCATGCCAGGATGACGGGCCCTTAAACTTCGCACTAGCTGGGAAGTTACCAAACGTCTGTGGAAGGAAAAACTCGGCCTCATGGGCGCATTTGCTCCCTGTCACAAGGCGATTTGGGTATGGGGGCGGTCTAAAGAAGGGTAGCGCTGACATCTTTCGCAATAGTATACGCTATATTACTCTGACTGCTGAATTGTATTGGTGGAGCTTAAGCGCAGGAATGGTGAGGGTTTGTACTTGGTGGGTTCATAGAGAAGGAAAAGAGGAGATAAAAGGCTTTGATGAAACAAAGAGCACACTGGCACAAACACAATAATTTGTTCACCACCTAGACAAGTACCATGTTCCCAACTCCGCGTAGCATTAATTGCGGCTTCACATTTCATCTTCACTAACACAAATTCATGAGGAGTCACAGCCTGCTGTTGCTATTCACCCATGTTACTTTGGACAGCAACACTCTACATTGCTTTCAAGAAGATGGCCATGCGAGGTTTTGATGATAATGAGAAAGAGTGGCATAGATAGTCCAAATGCGTAGATGAGATGATCATGCTATGCGAACTTCAGGCTCTGGGACAGCTGATGAAGGAGAAATGCGTTTCGTTCAAGGGACAGCTGTACCTAGGCCTGAATTATTGCCCTTTTAGATCAGAGATTGACGATCCCTGGCACTAGGTCAACACCTAATGCCGCCCAGGGGATGCTTCCCCTGAGTAGTATGGCTCAGGTAATGATTAAACCAGTCTTAGAATTAACTATAAGGATGCTAACTACCAAATCAATCGCTCGCCTAAGACGGTTCTGAGGCTATAGAACATGGCGAAGCTCTTTTCGTAGCTCAGTATACTTCAAGCTTGCCCGTCCACTTAATTCCACTATACCTTGGCCCTGCTGGAGATATCCTCAGAGAAATCATCCTTTTGAGCACGGTGTATGATCGTTGTGCAACCATATCTCAGAACTTGACACCGGAGTCCACTTTCTCAAGCTTCTGAACTATCTCACCGTTTGATCTCATGCCTGGCTGGGGCGGTTTCATTCTAGGCGCTTCTTGTCTTTCCTGCAAGGTGTTCAACTCTTGCACAGCTTGATCGAATCTTGGAATCACTACAGCCTCGGTATTCCGTTTCCACTCCATGACCGCACCTTTGAGGGTCGAAAACCATTTCGCAAATTCTGTCTCCGCTCCACGTTGAGCTACTTCAGGATGGATCATGATTCCACGTTGACAACATTCTTGTTCCAGTCTGGAAATGCCTCCGTAATAAGATACTGTGCTTCATTCTTTACCTGGTTTTGATACCAGAAATAGGCGGGTTCGGAATCTATAAGTAGGATCCTTTAGCAGTCAAAAGGCGTGGAGGTACGATGAATATCAGTTTATACGAGAAGTATCACCTACACTGAATATTTCTGGGACCAGGCTTCCTGTCCTCTTCCGGTAAGACCATCAACCGCTCGAATCGTTGACTGAGAAGGTCGTCAAGTCGCTTAAATGATGCAAATACGATAGAGGTTGCCTCTTGCACAGCAGGCAACAGGTCTCGTACCTCGTCCGGCATATAGCTTGAGCTTGAGAGAGGGATATCGGTCAGGTAGGATATATTCGAGGGATTATGATCATGAGCTGGCTCAAGAAAACGTGGGTCGTCATACGGAAGGCCCTCCATCTTGACATTGATATGGACAGCAGCGGTCCGTTTTGGCAGGTACCAGATTAACGGCTGACTTCTGGGCGTTCACAATTGAGCTTGTGACTGCAATCTAGTAACCTGAGAGCAGATCTGAACGAAGGTTAGCGCCGTAGGGTTATGGATATTCCACCTTGTAGAATATCAGGTTGGATGAGTGCCTGTCAGGTAGCTCCTCAGACTTGTGCACAAGAGATCAGAGGCAGTATTTGTCTGCGCTGTGACCTTACCAGTCGAGATAATTCTTCAGAGCTCCGCCAACAAGCTTTGATTTCAAGAAAACATGGACGGAGATCGGTTTGTATCGGTTTGTATCGGCATTGGTGCAGCCTGAAACTTCACTTCCTAGGACACAAGGAAGGCACTGGCTATAAGTGTTTAGTGACGCTGCACGGATAAATGCGGGCCGATACTGCAGAACAGAGCACATAGAGCTTCCATGTGCATATTTATAAACCCTCGATTGCCATGTCCAGGTCCTCTAGCTGTTGAGCCAAGGAGCAGGAATCCTGTGGCCTGGATCTTGAACGATACAGTTCAGCTTGACAACACACTCACGTATGGGTCGGTTGGAAAGGGAGCAAAGAGGTCTTCCGAGCTTGAAATGCCAGGTGCATAATGTGAGCCCTCAATATCCATGTGTCCACTCGGGTTCAGACGAGTTGGAAAGCTAATGGCTATAAAAAGATAAGGAGAGTTGGAGTTGAGGAGGATTTTCATGTTCTGATAAGCATAACAAGCAATTCCGGTGGAACTGCAGCTCGTTAGCTTCCCAATCGATTCAGCCTATCATGTTCTCTGATATTCCACTGGTATAGTCTTTGGCTTGGTTGTTTGCACCTGCTGGGGATTTATTAGCTGGCGTCCAAGGCCTAGCACAACCCAACGAGACCGTAGCTAGTCGTGCAGTCCTTCAGTTATTTAAGGCTTCCTCTCTGCAAGAGCATCATTCGCCGGAGTTCCAGCGAGGCGTTGCACCATAACCGAAAATCGATCTGTGCGTAGGTAAGCTCAGGCAGGCTCAGGCATAATTATAGCACTGGTTGCATTACCGGCTTTTTGGCATCAATGAAGACATTATTGACAAGATCTTCTCCAAAGATGTCGAGTATGCCTTGCCACTATAATACGTGTGTGCAATTCTCCTCCCAAGCCAGCATCATGGTCATTAGCGGCAGCGTCTGGAGGCTGAATTGCGTTTCTGTTGCGCTTGAGTTCCTCAGGGACGGTAACCAGGTGTCCCAGTTTTCTGAAGTACACCTCGTTCTCCGACAAGAATGACCGACTGGTTTGGTGGTATTGGCCTCGATCTGCGAGCACACGTGAGATTCATCTGTACAATGCGCAGAGCAATGAAAACATTGCATCGAGGTAAATGGTCAATCAGTCGAAGGCGGATGCAATAGGAATAAAAAAAAGCTCGTTATGAAGTGCATTTTGAGCATTGCAGCAGAATTAGGTGACTGGACCTAGCAACCGGTTTCAGTGAAAAGCATTTTTCCGGTTTAGAAAGTAGTGGCGACAGCCATGTTCCATTGAGTTTACCATCAATCAAATGTATGACCGAAGGAGCATTCAGTGAGTGAGGCCGTGGCATTATCGAGGCATGGCAGCATTCGTTGCTCTGCCTCAAGAGCCAGGCTGGAGATGGTACTAGCATTCAGGATCAAAGTCTGAGCGACATCAGAGTCGTACTTAGTGGATATTGCATAGGTTATGAGTTGGCGGACGAAACCAAATCATGCAAGAGTCTCCTAGAGAGCGAAGGCTTTGACGTAGTTGGGTAGAACCTATGTTGTAGATCTCTGGCTTTCTATTTATCAGCGTATCTGTAACTATAGCACGGCGGGGCCATTTCCAGCGAAAGATAGCTGTGGGTATCTGATACCTCGTTTCTTTCATGATAGGCCCAGAACTCGTCCATGTATCCAGAAGTTAAGCACGTGCTGCTGTTGCAGTGAAGACAAAGTAGCAATCAAGCATAGTGACACAAAGGGTGTATGAAAGGGATATGAGGCCATGAAGTAGGAAGACTTCAGAAAACAGGTTTCGGTAGTACATAAGATCAACCACTACTAGAAAATAAAGCCCCGACGTACTGCAGTAGGTGAAAATGCCGTTTGACTAATCATAGTGGAGAGAATGGCAGACATCAACAACAGACCGGATGTAAACAACAACAGCACAAAGTTCAGGTATTGACGTAAACGGTGGCAATGCATGTCAGGGTATGCAAAACAGATCAGAACTTATGCTTTCATAACAGGAATGATTATCATGTGCTTTTTAGTCATCTGCGCATCTCAAAGTATAGACCTTCAGATAACTGTACCCAATTTCTCTCAAATCACGAACTCATCGATGCTCATTGGATCCTAGTGCAAATAAAGTATCAGCAAAGGCATTGCAGAGTATGGATGAGAGATATTCCGATCACTGACCGTTCAATTAAGTGGAGACCAGAAGCAGTCTCTACTATACCACTAACTTCGCCAGGCTTGAGAGCAAATGCATTCTCTTCGAATTCTTTCTGCATCTCATTCTTGCCAAAGAAGCCGAGATCTCCTCTCTTCCGAGCACTGCTACAGTCTGATTCGGAGACAGCCAGAGCACCAAGAGTGGTTTGACCGGACTGAATCTGTTCCTGATATCCCTTGATGATATTGAGCGCCTCGTCCTTTGATCTGGTAATGTTGGCTTCCCGCCAACTTTGTGGTCTTCTGCTTTCGTTATGCTTGACCAGTAAGTGGGCTGCTCTGATCTTCCCATTCCCAGCATCCATGCCTTCTGTTCTGGTGTTGGCAGCACTATGGTTATTGGCCATGTAGGTCTTCAGTACCTCAGTGTCAGTTCCATCAGGGGGGTCCCAACGTGATTCTCTTGTTTGAGTGTTGAAATAGTAGGGTAAATTTCGAGAGGTCGATTGTTTTACAATCCAATCTGTAGGGAGACCGCTTTCCGACTGCAGAGCATTGGTCATTATTACCAACTCTCTACAATATGAGCAGGACAGAGTCTTACCATATTGATGAAGAGCAGTTCAGCCGTGAGGGAATGGCGGGATAAAGCACCTGTCTTGCTCAACGGTGTGAGAGTAAGTAGTAGTTAGACAAGTAGACCAGGTTACTGTAGTGAGTGGTGAGTCCGTTGCCACCACACAAACAATAAGGCTGAGCACTAAGCCAGGAACTAGGATCTTAGCGAGCAGCGGAGTCATTTGCTTCACGTTAGCGTGATGGTTAGTCAGCTGATGATCGTTCAAGCAGCGGTAGCGGCTCTCTTCGTGTTCCCCCAAATACAGCAGGGTAAGTCTTGTTGATCCTTCTGGTTGTACCAGATTTATGATCACAGAAACTTAAAGTAGTAGACCTTTGTGCATAACGAACGCTTTTCCCTTTCAACCACACATTCGGGTGTCACAGCGCAATATTGAGGATATCGAAAGCTCATCCCTACAGCAATCCATATCGCATCAGCCACCAGCCAACCGGGTACCCTTACCATCAAACCCCTCAGAGCTCTCCTACGAGAAGCAATTCATCTATATGGCAGCAGCATCTCCATCTGCTAGTGAGGGTGGCGACAAACGTGGGGAGGTCACATACCGATTCTGCGCAGAATGGTAGGCTCATCTGAACCATTTCCCAAGGGTCAACTGATGCTAACTTTATGCAGTTCAAACCTACTCTATCCCAAGGAAGATCGAGAGATGAATTCCTTGACATATGTATGCAAAGCGTGCACAGCTACCACGCAAACCGAGCCAGCATGTACCTACCGACATCATCTTGGCGCAACAGTGACCGAGACTGCTGGCGTAACAACAGATGTTGCGAACGATCCTACTGTGGGTGAAACTTCTCTTGAAGTCTACTTCTGCACGATGTGCGGTGATGCTCTGAGGTGTGAAATCTGTGGGATTTCCGTGGTGCAGGAAGATTCGAGTCCAGAGGATCCATCAGATGATAGGGGAAGCAGGGATTCCGTCTCATAATTCTGCAGCAAAGCCTTCTTTATAAAAGCTTTGGCTGACTGTTGAATCCACCAATACAGCTTCCACGAGCAGTCAAACGCTGCCCCAAATGTGGTGAATCAGAGGCGGTATACTTTCAGTCTCAACAGCGAGCCGCTGATACTGGAATGGTAGGTTTCAAGCGCTGCCCTCTATTTATATAAGTACTGAAAGCACTTATAGAAACTCTATTATGTCTGTACATCTTGCAACCATGTCTACACTGCGTTGTGAATTAGGCAGGGCTGCATTCTTTTGGGGCATCAACGGAGCTTTGATTTTGCAACTCGCTTCATTCGAGAGTCAGAGCATTGCTTGCATAGCGTGAGTGTTTCAGTTCATTGGTTGAAAGTTACCCCTTGTTTAGATTATGTACAGACTATGGAGCTGGGGTCCTCGTCTTTGTGGGCTGCTTCACAAATTCATATCATCAATCGAATTCTAGAGCATGGCTCTTGTTCACCATTGCTTGTCCAACGAAGAAGATTGTGGTGAGGAGAGTATGACGCCAAGTTGAGTTCTTTATACTTCAACCAGCTGCTGTCAATGATTCGGGCACGCTTAAGTCCTCTGCTTGCATCTGCATCATCATTTCTCATACATGTAACGGTGCAAGGGACAGTATCTTTGACCACTGCCTGTCGCGTAGCTCGGCTCCAACCACACCTGTAGACACTTGAGAATTTGCTTCAAGAATGACTGTAATAAGGGCATACTTGTCAATCTGGTGCCGATTGGATCCCCAGTCTTGTTGATGAGCACACAAGCATTGTCATCAAATCTGATCAAGCCTCCATCCTTGCGCTGTATCTCTTTCTTTGCTCTGACCACTACCGCATGTCGAATGTCCCCCCTTCGGACTTTGTTCGTGATTCCCAAGCTAGATGATCCAGGAGATTCTGCGCCGAAAGACCTTTGCTTTTGTACAACGACGATGATTCGATCGCCTGGAGCATTGTCAGACCCTAGGATTGCCATCAACTTCGAGGCTGGATTCAGACCTATTCGCGCAGCTTGCTTCTTCTTTTTCATCACAGCTACACATTCGACGATAGCAGCTCCCGAATTGTCGATGCAATTAAGCATCGTCTGTTGCTGTGTCAATGTGGCTGTGCAATTCCGGTATAGTATAGGAGGTATCGCAAACCTTTAATTGTATCATCGTGGTAGCATTGTTGATCAAACTATGAATACCTCATGGAACTTGCACCATTGAAATCAAATCATGAAGATCTGGTTTGGCGAGGCTAACTTAACTAGAAGCGCCGCTTCCCCCAATCCCCAATCCTGCAGCCTTCCGGACGATCCCTTGCCCCTTTTTGAGTTTGCAACCATCATGCGAGCCAGGATTCTCAGGTCCAGGTCCAGGTCTCAGTCCGCAGTCCTTTATTTAGCGAGGGAGAAACGGCTGCGCATCCTTCTACTCGTGCATGCGTAGGCTCCATGGCATGGCGCCGAAGATCAAGGGCGAATTTGTTGTGATCAAATTCACTTTAGACATTACGTGACATTACATGACCTGAACACTGCGTTGTCAAATTCAACGCGCATTCCAACCTCCTCTCTGGGCCAGCACATCCACCCTGCCTACGACACCTTGCGGGTGACATGTTCCGCTCTAGCCAACTTTTCATGCCCTTTCCATACAGATAATACTGTTCTTCGACATCATACATCATGCCTCGCAAGTCAGACTCCACGATTGCAGGGCCTCAGAAGCATCGTTTGAGCCTGGCGCAACTTGCGTCCTATGACGACGTCCTTACTGATGCCCTGGTTGATCAGGTAGAAAGACCGGCTCAGCATACTGGGCATACCGCTAACTTCAAGTAGGCCTATTTCTGGTCACGAATACGCAAGAATCGTGAAAATAAATATTTACCTGTCAGAGGCATCAAACAAGATGAGGTGCCGCAAATTCTCCTCCACAAAGTCATTATAGCCAAAGACGTTGAAGATGCTGAAAAAGCGCTCCTCAATCTGGCGGGGCTACGGCGGTATGTGGGTGGCTTACATACAGAGGCAGAGAAAAAGGACTTTCGCAACCACCTTCGAAAATACATAAACATGTATTTGCCTGATTCTCCTTTCGAAGTTTCCACGACCAATCGGTACACTATCACTGCACAAGAAGCTTCGGTGACTGCGAGAAAGAGAATCCGCGAGGGTGACAAAATCAAGTATCTGTGTGGTACTTTAGTGCCTCTCACCGACGCAGAATTACAAGACCTGGATCTCACCCAGCGCAACTTCAGCATTGTACAGTCGGACCGGAAGAAGAACACTTTGATCTTCCTGGGGCCAGCCAGATTTGCCAACCACGATTGTGCCGCTAATGGCAGACTTGTATCGGTGGGGAAAGATGGGCTAGAAGTACACGCCACGAGGAATATTGACATCGGAGAGGAAATCACAGTCACCTATTCTCCTGGATACTTCGGAGCAAACAATGAAGAATGTCTTTGCCACACATGTGAAGTACAAGCGAGGAATGGATGGACCTCTGCAGAGGTGTTTGGTGCCCCGCAGAGTGGTGAGTCCACACCAATTCCATGTGAAGCTCTTATAGGGTCACCGTATTCTTTCAGAAAAAAGCGGAAACACGGGCTGGACACTATTTCTACAGGTAGTATGCCGTCTGCTTCTCCAGCGAAAAAGCAGGTATTGGACCGACCCCCTTCAAGGTTGAATCAAGTCTTTACACCACCACCACCTAACTCTCTATCTCCAGAAGAGGACTCTAATCCTATGGCTGCTGGTACGGATCAGAAAGCATCAGAATGTAGTCAATCAAAAAGAAAACGCAGCTTACTGGACGTCGATGTCTCAGGGAATGCTTCCGTAGTTGAGATCGGTCCTGAAGCAGCAACCGATCCGCCCAGGAAGAAAAAGATGCGCCTCATTGACCAAATGACTTCCAGTGCAGGATCCAGCCCCGAACTCTTAACAAAAAGGCGTCCAGCTTCCTCGGTTTCTGACGAATCAGGCAATGATTCCTCTTCGTCCAAAACCTCTTCCCACAGCACTCAAGCAACCTCCATTTTAGACGCGCCAGTCAGTATCAAAGTTGAAAGCTCGGAAACCTCGAAAATAGAAAAAGTCGACACGTCGTCCGTATACCATACACCACTTTCAACGCACTTGAAACAATTAACCGCTTACGAGGGCCCGTCTGCCAAAACCACCCTCAAAACCACCCACACAAACCTCACCACCAAAAATCCATCCTTAGTCGTCCCCTCTATCGAGCCCAACGCCACCACTGAGACAACAACAGCAACCACCCTGACCGTCCTCCCCGATCCCACCTCCCCACCCACCATCCGTACCCCAGGTGACTACATCCTAACACGCCGTCTCCTCGCCCAACCCTTCGATCGTTGGGTGCAATGCCAGACCTGCGCCGACTACTTCCTCCAATCTAACGGCTATCAAACCCGGCGCGAGTGTCCACGTTGCGAGAGACATAGCATGCTATATGGATTCGGATGGCCGAAGACGGAGCCTGATGCGAGGAGGTTGAGAGAAATTAGGGAGATGAAAGAGCGGGAGGAGAAGAAGAGAGTTAGTGAAAAAGGGAAGGCGAAGGGTAAGAGGAAGGGTGGGAGCGCAGGGGATACGATTGTGGTTTCTGCGGCGAAGGTGGATGAGGGTGCTACGGCAGCTGTAGTGAGGCAGGGCCAGCGGAGCAAGGGCGGCGGGGTCTGGGGAAGAGGAGGGAAAGGGGGTGGTAGGTCTGGCAGATCTGGAAAGGGGACTTGGGTTGAAGGCGGTGGAGAGGAGGAGAGAGAGGAACGTGTCATGGATCATAGGACGGTGAATCGCTTCATTGCGCCAGAAGAGGAAAGAGAGGTTCGCAAAAGAGGGAAGAACAGTCTTTTGGAATATGCAAACGCCAGATCTGGAAGTCTGGGTACCCCGGGAGCGAAAGATAGCGCTACGCCGGATCGTGTGTTGGCGAGGCTGAGGGGCAGTGTTGTCGGAGAGAGAGGTAGGAGCACGACCGGCACCGGGAATGGTTACCCTAGTGCCCGGGAAGACAGCATAGGCAGCGCTGGGTTTGAAGACGGAGATGGAGCGCTCAGGAGGAGTCAGAGGTATTTTGGCTCGCGGTTGACGTTGTGAAAGGTAGGGATATGGGTACAAATGTGGGTCTGAAGGATTTTTATGGTATCTCATGCATACCGTATCGCAGTTCACAAAAGAGGATTGGGTTGCCCCGTGCACGGCACAGCCACTGTCATAGTAACTGGAGTTCGCAGGTCTTGTTTTGTTGTATAGCGCAGAGGGGGCTTGATAATACTATCGTATCAACAGAGTTCAAATGATCGATGTGAATGGAGAGGATGTGCCTTGCGCTGTATTGCAGGAACTGCAATGGGCTCACAAGAGCTCTCCCAACCTAGACATGCATGGGAAAATGTTATCCATACTAATATCATGTCCACTTCTACTTACCTGGCTTATGTAACACAGATGTGATGCCATATCAAATCAGTCTTTGGAGAGTGTTTATTTTCAGAATTCAAGCGCCGAGTTGCAGGATCAAAAACGTTTACATAGATTCTGTTTCGGATTCAATGATGGCTGAACGTATTCAACCGATGCTTGTGACTACTTGAACCCATTCTGGAGTGTTTTCTCAGTCGAGGAATGCAGCAGCATACTGCCCCAATGTGCTCTGAACGCGCGCTCTGAGTGCGATTGAAAATAGAGGCGGGCATGATAGAACACAGATCATCTTGAGTGCAACTTTGGAGCAAATTCTGCTATACGGATACAGCCAAGTGGTGTATCTACGCATTGAACTCTCGGACGATAGAACAACCTAAATTTTTCCTACTCGATCTCAGGGGCCATGCCATAGATATCCTTATCAGATTACCTTGCAAGCGGCCTCGATGTTACTAGAGATGGGACCCTGGAAGCAACAAAACAGAGCTTGCTTGGTGCTTTCCGGACGACTCCAATTGTCGAGACGCTGAAATGTATTCAACCAAAAATCACGGATGCGAGCAACTTCACACAGATGTAAGCCAGCTCCACGATTCGTGGTAGAATCGGTCATCGTCGTCCATGCTGCCACTTGCGATGGGTTTCCTCTGGGATTCGGTTTCGGGTTCAGACCCCGATTCAGCGTCGAAGTCGTAGTCTGAGTTGTACTCGGGCCCATCAGGATCTTCATCAACAATGTTGTCAAAGTCGCCATCCCCATACTTCGAGGCGTGGCCGCCCCAACCTGATATGTCAGAATACCCAGAAGCATGGGATATTGTATCGTCATCGTAAAAACATATCCATTGTCTGTTCGCGTAGGGGTTGGAACCCCCTTCATTGATGAAACGCAGCACATCTTGGCTGTTGACCCGTGGCGCAATCCGTCCTTCGGACACGTGGTAGCGATCCGACTCCTCATCTCTGGGACTCTTCAAAATGAACGATTCAAAATGCACATTCTTCGCATCGGCAAGGACCTGTATAACATCCCTCCAGCTGCCCGAAACATAGCAGTCCCACAGTACCACAGTAGTCAGAGATGGGGCGTGACGCACAATGAATCGCCTGAGAGTTTGGTTTTGTAACTTTGCCTTTTCTAGTACAAGGGTGTGAAGCTTCGGAAATCGAATGGGTGCAGCAAAAATCTGCAACTCGTTCGGCAAAGACTCGACAAGGTGCGTTTCAGATATTTCTAAGTGCTCAAGTTGCTCTGCTCCCTGCAAGCATGTGTACAACCCGCTGTTGAAAGTAGGAACAGGGCAATCAAGACACAGGCTGATTTTGCGGAGATGCCTGAATGCTTTTGCGAACCGATGCTCAAAATTATCAGCCTGGAAGGGATCCACTGCTTGAATCCCATGTTTCAAGAGTCCTGATTTCCGCTCTGTGATAAGGTTCTCTACGGGAACACCCGTAATCGCCACGGCTTCCAGCATGCAGAGAAACCCTGCACAGTTGCTGAACTTCCCTGTTTCGATTGGACCTTCTCGGAATTCCAGTAAACGCATTACAGCGTCGCTCAACGGAAGAAGATGTTGCCCATCGAATGAGGTTGGCGGGTCCAAAACAGCATCCATGGTATTGCCAGGTACTCTTGCGTCTGTTGAGATGATTGTCTTCAATCCAGACATCGCGCTGCATCCTTCTATCAATGCAGCCAAGCAAGCCTCCTCATTTGCAATGGTGCAATCCCGGTGCTCGCGCAGCGATCGCACTTTACAGCGGAAGTCTTGTGCTTGGTCCAGTTCTTGTAAGGTAGGCTGACCCTGGCTGTCAACTTCTGCAAGCAAATATTTCACTAAAATCTCTTGAGGTGGATCCCACCGCTTGGCGTTCGAGGGAATTTGGAAGCGAGATTCGAAGCGGGATTCGAAGCGAGATTCGAAGCGAGATTCGAAGCGAGATTGGAAGGGCAATTCCTGCCAAATGACACGTTGAACCATCTTGCACAACTTTTGGTCTCGGACTATGTTCAGAAAGCGATGTAAGTGGGACTGCTGAACTGAAACCGTGATTGACCTGAACAGCAATGGGCAAGCAATCGTGGATAGCTCATGACATACGAGGCGTAGAGTCTTGACATCCTGGTACGAGAGGTGGTCGAGCAACAAAAGGATGATCTCTGCAGGTAGTTCGATCGGATGCTTGAACGAGAGAAGCATTATACTCGGATGTAGGGGCTACACCGAGCAGCCTAATATAAACAGTACATCTGAAGACAGATACCCTGACTGCAGGTGACTATTTTGATGGCAATTGAGAGGTCTGGTAGTAATGCAATGCTAGGGTCCTCGTGACTGAATTAGTACCCCTATGCCCAAGAATGGAAGGCACCACCCAGGGTCTTTTCATAGTACTCGGTGCGATCTGGTGTGAAGTCCGCCGTATCGCAATTCACCAATATGGTGTGCATATTACTGGATACACATACGTCCGTTGACCAGGATTCGGAATGGGCCTTTGGAGGTTAAGGTGCCAAGTTCAAAGGTCAAGTTCAAACCGGATCTACTTCGGGCTTGGTAGATCTTGGCATGCTAATATAATTTACATCGAGATTTGCATTGAGAGGAGCATAGTAAGCTGTCGAAGATTACAGAGAACTCGATATATACCAAAAAGGCCATGCAGGTTGAATAAAGCTATCTGTTTATTATTATATATAGGTGATCAAACGCTTATTCGATGATAGCTGCCTTCTCGAGCAAGAGGGGAACCTATTCATATATCCTCGCGCAATCTCGACACCAGAGTGCATCGATGTGTTCGACCACCGAATATCGTATCTAACACTCTAATTTAACGCTCCACGCACACTACACTTCGGCACATATTTGTACGTCCTCATTCAACCTTTCCATGTCTTCTCAGACGTAAGGTCTGGCCCCGAGCATTACTACTTTGGCCTTGTGGGCCACGTCGCTCCTGGTGTGCCATAAGTCCTTGAGGTTTCTGAGTGCCACGTCGCTCTTGGGATGCTACAAGTGCTGGGGTTTTCTGAGTGCCACGACCTTGCTCATCTTTAAGTTGTCGCTCAGATGCGGCTCCTTGTTTCCCTGCCACACCCTGTGCTGATCGTACAGGCTTGTGCCTCAATGCCATCTCTAAGCGCTTGGCCTTGGGTCCAGCAGTTTGTGCTCCATCAGGTGTGCGTGATTGTTCTTCAAAGTCGTTCTGTAATGCAAGGGCGATCTGTCGGAATCTTGAATCATTTTGGAGCCTGGACTGGAAATTCTTGGTTTCATCCTCGCTGAATCCACCATCTAAGAATTGAAGAATGAGCGTGGTGTCGACAGGGTCACCCTTTAAAAGTTTAGCAGCAATCCCGACACCTGCAGCGGTTCCCGCTGGACAAATTAGCCATTGCTTTGGTCGTGACGTACTGTGAAACAAGTACTTACCTGCTCCACAGGCGGCAGAAAGCCCAGCAACCAAAGCAATTTCAGCCATAGCTATGAGTGTGATCGATGTTGGGTATAGTGAATTCTAGACATCCCGTGGATGTTGAAGTGTTGTCATGCTTCATTTAAGACAGTCCTCAGAATATTCACTTTACACTGCATTGAAATGCATGTTAGTTTCTTTATATCTCGTCAGGGGTCATGCTTCAGTTTCAATTTTTGGCCCATCAGTTTTATTTAGATTGTGCTACCAAACACCATCAACTAGTTAGCTTGAGTTTCATCGTAAGCGAACGACGCCGTCAGGCTTGGTGTGAAAAGATGCTCGAAATAAGAATTGAATGAACCACTTATGTAAATCTTGAAACGCTTCTCGAGCACGAGGATGCTGGGAGAATGAGGTTTTGTCACATAGTAGTAAGTGTGGAGCGGCTAACTGACTTGTCAACCTTCCCTTTTTTGGCAATAATTCCAGGCTGATACCCTTGACCCTTAAGTCATCAACTTGTCATGACACTCTGGTTGTTGTTCAGAGATATTCTCAGCACTTGCTACTACTGGTGACTTTACGTCATTAAAAGATACTTGCTACACAGTGTAGGGTATTACTTAACAGAAGGATAGACACCGGTGCGACGTAGATGATGGAACGTTTCTTGAAATAAATCAAGGGTCAAATTTATTGGAGCGCGAGGACCGTCTAGTATCAATCTGGCCATGCTTGGATAAAGAGGGTGCGAAGGGTGGAGCATTAAGGCTTTCCACAGAGTCTTTATTTAGGATATAAGTGGTTGTGCTCCGTGCCTACGGTCATGTCGCACCACTTGTTCGCCTAGATGGCAAGGGGTACGGAGCACCTTTCTCATAGGCTTACTGATGATCACTAGAGCCACCACCACTTACGTTAGGACAATTATGGTGCCACGGATTGTCAGACTAAAGTAACGAGTTAGGTTAGAGTCCTATTAGCTGCCGTCGGGATGGGTCGTTTTACTTTTCTTTCAGATAGGTTCAATGGAAGGTACCTAACAGAAGTGGCGGGGAGAAAGTTACACAGTGGGCTTGAGCCTGACCATATTCAGAAAGATTACTGCATGAACAGGGCTGGGATCCGCTGTAAGAGTTAGAGAACTGAAATTTCTATCCTCCGGATACATGAGATACCTTTGCCCTGGCAAACCATTTTCCTGCCAGCCTACCAGATCTCTGGGATTGTGCAACATCACTCTTCATAGCTCACACTTCCTTGACAAAACCAACCTCGATCAGTTTGTCCACCGCTAGATTCAGTGCTTGTACCTTGCTTCTTGTATTATCTCTGAGCCAGAGAAAAGCGTTCAGAGCAATTCGGCGGAATAGTGGGGTACCTTCAGTAATACGCATCTGTTCTTTGCCCACTATATAAACCACCTGGTTCTCATAGGCTCTCTGTAGGTTGGCTAGCTTCTCTGACATGTGCATCTGCTCAGAGGATGGTTTGATGGAGTTGTGGCGCTGTGCAGATTCGGTTGTACAGGCACGGGTTGGCTGGGCTTGGCAGGAGTCATGTATTGTCCTGGCAGCATTTTTGCCACCTTTTTCGACACCTTCACGTATTATGAAGTTGCGGATTTGATCGAACACAAGCACGCCCAGATCGCGAGTAACGACCACATCCGTGTACCCATGGCGAATGACGAGGCGGAACCAACTTTGCATTGGCAGCTTCTTCTCGCCTGGGGTACCAATAAAGCATCTCGTTACTGAATAACGATCCTCAATTGGAACAGACGGAATTGGCAAGGGCCGCAGGTGGAAAAAGATGGCCACTTCGCAGGTGGTGTGGAACTTTTGCAAGAAATGGATAAAAGCGGTGGGCGTTGTAGATTGTGCACCGGCCTTGTCAAAGAATATACCCATCCCATTGATAGAGCTGATTGAGGAGCCGCCAAATGGGGCGGTGAAGCAAAGACTCTGCAAATCTTTGGATGTTTCATCTCGAGACGTGAGCATGTGGCCTAATGGAAATCGATCTGAGGCTTCAGCACGCCACTGTTGTTCTTTTCCAAAGCGCCAGAGGATGAAAACACTCGACAGAACGAAGGCAAGGACGAGAGTAAACCATGCACCATCCGGGATTTTGGTCGCCGAAGACGAGAGGTAGAGTCCGTCTAGAGCTGCAAAGACAATGTAGCCGGTTATAACCACAATTAAATGGAGACGCCACACGATCAGAGCGACAAGTGCGACCATCGTGGTGGTAATGAATGTAACAAGGATCACACAAAAACCGTATGCATGGCCCAGTCTTGTGGTATTGTTGTATACTGCAGTCACAATAATTGTCCCCACCATCATCAACCAATTCGCAGACGGAATATAAAGTTGACCCCGGAATATCTTGGAGGTATGAACGAGCTTGATCTGTGGAAAGTACGAAAGTTTCATGATCTGTGAAAGTAGTTGGAAAACGGCGGTGATCATCGCTTGGCTTGCCACGATAGCGGCGAGAATTGCAATTACCAAGCTGGGATAGAACATGCCCGGTGGTACTGAGTTGAAAAATGGGTTAGTCCAGGCATCCCGATTGCGACTGATGTAAGCTGCTTGGCCGATGTATGCTAGTAGAAGGCAGGGCCATGCAAAGCATAACCAGGATAGCTGAATAGCAGGTCTCGTAAAGGCGCCAAGGTCAGCAAAAAGAGCCTCAACACCTGTAAAGGCAAGCAAAATGCCACCTAGAGAACTCCAACCGTCGGTCTTGTTGCGCACAAGGTACCAGCCGGCAAAATATGGAGAAAAGGCTTTAAGAACGGATGAATCGTGTACAATAAGATTCTAACTTGAGATCAGCAGCATAGCACATTGAATGATAATTAAACACTTACATAGATACCAAATGCAAGGTTAAGCAGGAGCCAAATTATGACGATTGGGGCGAAGGAACTGGCGATTTTTGTTGTGCCAAATGGTTGCATTAGAAAGAGGAGAACTAAAATGGCACAAGAAACGCCGACGATAGTCGAGCTTGTGATATCTTGCCTCACCGCCCTTAAGCCTTGGATTGCGCCAAGAACAGATTGAGCAGGTGTGAGGATGCCATCAGACATAACCAGAGAAACTCCAAAAACGCCGGTTACTTTGAGAAGGAATTTAACTATTCTGCTTCGCTCGATGAAGTTCCGGGCGCTCTTGTTAGCGAATGGCAAATCTGCGGAGAGAACCCTCTCCATCTTCACGGTCGCTTCTTCTAGAGGATTGCGCTTAATGATATTTGCCTGCAAAGCCCGGTCAGATTGTCTTTTGAAGTGGAGGTGAGTGACCGCTTACAGAGCGGGAGAGAAGCGAATAGAGAGCGAAAGTACCTCCCTCGCCGTCGTCGTCTGCATGAAGCACAATAAGAACATACTTGACAGTGACCATTAAAGTGATGCTCCAGATGATCAGTGAGAGTACGCCGAGGATGTCATCATAGGTAGGATCGCTGACAAAGGTCGATGAATAAACATAGAGTGGGCTTGTACCAATGTCACCATATATGACTCCGGTGGATTGATACGCAAGCCTGGTCCGGGTGTCAGAAGTGCGCAGAACATGTATCCACATCATGATTCACCATAATAGGTACCAACCTTTAAAGGCCTTAAGAGGCGTTAGTAAGCAAAAAATATCAGATGGAAAGCACGGCTTACCTGCTTTTGCTTCAAGTCACGATCGTCCACATATTCATCCTGGCCATCATCATCATCATCGAATCCTTTCGACTTGGTGCTACCCCTTGAGAGACTTGGAGGTCTAGAGCTCGCGGGCCTCTGCCGAGCATAGACACCACCACCAGTTGTACTCATTCGTCGGATGGCATCGCCATTGCATTGAACACCTGCTGCCTCCGTCATATCTCACGAGGAGCAAATGCTGTTCTGATGTATGGAGAAATTGGAGGGCTAAGAAGTGGGCAGCGTTGTATGGGTACAGCAGGAACAAATTAGTAGGGGAGGAACGGATAGAAACGAGGGGGGAACGTAGTTTCACACAGAGAGCGGTGGGCAGAGATATCTCAATTGTGTCAGCGCAAATGTCGAGCAACTGTCGAGCAACTATCCTCGTAGCATGAAATATGTTCAATGATAAGCGATAAGCAAGGGCCAATTGTTACACCCACCTCCATGGTCGAGGAGCTTCTCAGGTCAGCATTGGGGCAGTGCAACAGGTTGCATTCCAATGGTGGGATGGTGACAGGGAGGCGAAGTGATGTCCAAGTTTGCAGCCAATTTCAGACTGTTAGGCCCGAGAAATTCCAGATCAAATGTGATTACACGTGATAAGGAAAGTATTGGATCATGCAAATACTTCCACATAATGGGGCTCCAGTGATGTGATAATGCCTCATGCAAAGGATCCTTGAGCCTAAAGTCAGCTAGGGCCGGCTGCAATATGAATGTGGAAGCTGGACCTGGCGATAGAGTACACAACTAAGTTGTCCTTGGACGGCCATGCAGTAGGGGATAACAAGGACAACATGACTGATTGGATACTGGGGCGATGGCTGTGGAAAGGTGTCAGCTGTGGATCACGATAGTTGTGCAACCACACACTAGTCATACCTGTTTGATGATTAGTCATCTTCCACGCTCTTTTAGGAACTACCCCTGCAGAGGTAGATAAGGTACCCGACAGACTACATCCCCCCCATTCGCACCACTTTTGGGGCCGATATCTCCTTGCCTACCAAAACTTTCAATCCACTAATTTCAGCTTGCCGACATTCTACAGATCACTCATCGAAACCAATACAGAGGGAGGTCGAATGACCAGAATCGAGCAGTGTTTGTTATATAATGCTTATTTGCCTATTCCAATCAATTTTTTCTCCAAACAGCACCAGCGATGTTAAAATAGTAGAAATATGCACTAAGACTCAAAATGCCAAGCAAATTCTGGTGCGAGTTGGGGGGGGGGGGGTTGCCATCACATTCCAAAACATCCTGCCAAAACATCATGATCAGAGTAGCTGCAGCTGACATCTCGCGGATTATGGCGCTGTCATTGAATTAATGATTTGTACCTCGCAGCACAGAATGTTCAAACGCTGTGGAACATGTCAGCATTACAGTTTCACCTAACTTACAGATAAGCAGAAAATGCTGTGTTGCATGTCTGACATTCGATTGCAATGAAAAGACCAGATGTATTATTAGTAGTTAGACAAAATCCAATAATATCACCAACTTTTGAGCAACACTGCGCGCTTCTTCCTCATACTTCCAGTCATTCCTCGGTTGGTAGCCTCTGGCAGGGTATATCTCAGTTGTAAAAACCATCACACCATCTCGACGCGAGGCCTCTACGTCAAGATCTGCACGCCCATGTTGCTCTGATCAACTCGAAAATGTGTGGTTATGCCGGCATTAGCGTACTAGGGATGCTGACGTAGTCAGCAACGCTCAACCAATAATGGTGAGAGTACGACCGAAGCCTTGGCCTTAACCAGCGGGGAATTACGGACAATCAAAAGGGTGGCAACGTCTGTTGAGCATTGGGATGATGATTGGATACTGATACTGGAATAGCATGCTGAGCATGGCTTTCCAGCTGCAAACTGTATCACGTCTATCACGTGCGCCAGCGCTACTTGGCAGGCGATAGATTAGCTTCGGTTGCTCATTGCAACTTCAATTTCTCCACCTCTCAAAACACTTTTTCGCACAACGTGTATGCTTGTTCAATCTTCTGCTCTGTTCATTGATGCTCGACAAAACTTAGGACGTCCGGATCTCCTGGGTTCGAGTTCCAATTGGGTCGTTGCAAAATACGGTTTAGCCTAGTAAAGGATTTCCTTTTGAGGAATGGTGGTGGTCTGCCGCTCGAGGTTTGATCGGATAGTTGTGCTCCGGTCAGCCTTTACAGGCACCAAAACTGGGGCAAGCAGACACGGCTTCTCGTTCTTTTTCGACAACTACTCACTCTGGCGTGAGGTACTGATAGTAGGTGAGTCCGTGTGAGCGGGCGGCGGCAGGACGACAGCCTTCAACGCGGCTCTTTGGGGTTTATTTGCCGACATTGTAACATGTTTGATAGGAGTGATGGGTCCTAGCTTGGGAAAATCCAGAAATGTTCCAAGGCCTCGCCTAATTTTCACATCCCTAATTTGATTTTCTGTAACTTGATACAGTGTTTAGACCATGGCCTTGATCTTTAGGGTTGCGTGAAAGCAGCCCAAGGCTAAAAGTAATACGTGAACACCCCAAATGCAACACCAGTGTCTAGGCAGCTCTGACGTCATGATGAAATGATTATTCCAACTGAAAAATAACAGAAACTGATCATCCAGACAGTTTCCCATGGTGTATAAGGATTAGATTTCATAGTTCTATCATAGAAGACAAATCCATGACCAGTTCACAGCAGATTTCCATGATATCAAACATCGCTTGGTCTAGATGCAAGTAGGATGAAATTCGTGATTCCGTTGTGGTAGGGGCATTGTTTTCGACCGCGTGTTGTTTTCCCCTGCAGTGACTTGCACTCTGCCCCTCTGCAGTCTGGCGGAGTTGTTCAAGCACGTTCTGATGATGGTCGTCGCTGCATCGCATGTGATATCTGCAGCACTCTGTGATCAGTGCCTGTCATAGAAATTGTTCTCCGTAGCCGTAGGAAAGCTGGAAACTTACATGTTGGTATCACAATCCGTCTCGGATAAATCCGCCTCGGAAGAAGAATCCTCGTCAGAAAAGTCTTCATTAGAAGAATTCCCCTCAGAATAATCCCAATCCGAAGAATCCGAAGAATCCGCAGAACCCTCGTCGGAAGAATCCCCACCAGAAGAACATTCGTCAGAAGGGTCTTCGTCAAAAGAATCCCAATACCGCACTTTCTCCGGGTCGGGAACACACAAGTCGCCTTCTGACTCTCTTTTCAGCCTCATCCGAGAGTTGTGGCCAGTCCTCGCATCTCTCAATTCCGTCTGGTGGTGAAGGTTCTCCAAGAATGTTTCCGAGTTGGGAGCTGTGTGGCGCATTACGAATGGATTGATATCCACGTTATCAGTAGGCATCACATATCAATGGGTCTGAAGCAAAATAGCAAACCGAAGCAGAGCGAAAAAGAAAACATGATAATCCGATTCTGTGCTGGTAAGTATGTATTGAGTAGAAATGTTAAATGTGAGGCCTGAGACTGCGACTGTTAATGTTTCGAGGGTCCAAACTCATTACAGTCAGAAGTGAGTAAGCACACACTGACATACGGAGTAATACAGCTTGAAACGTAAGACTCTTCGAAGACGTCACACCTCTTGAAACGCAACGCAAGTAAGTATACACGCCATGCGCGTTGGTCAAGTCCATATTTGAGGAATTTGTCCACACCAATGCATTGTAAAGTATAGAGCGACTCATTTTTATTTTGATCTAAAAACAATTGTTTTCAAGCACAAGGGATGAGAGGAAGGGGCACAGCGGCACCTAACAACGGGTGAGACAGGGCAGAGTTGCATTGGTGGTGCGTCGATAGCTGGAGGCCCGGGTTCAGCTGGGAAGCAAGTATACGCCCAGTCTCGAAAGGGGAGGGCGAAACGCTGGCTAGGAGGGAACCGAGTCTCATACAAAGACAACTTCAGAGGATCTGACTAGAATAACCGCTGGGGAATGTGTGTTTGGGTTGTTACATGCATTGGTCGCTTACCGCAAGGCCCTAAAAATTTCTGGGGAGGCGGCCAGACGCTTGGATTACGGTAAGGTAAAAGAAAAGGAATCAGCGGTCACAAATACCAATTTTTGCCGCCGTTTCACTAATACATGAAAAGTCTTACACACACGGCAGTATCAATGTGCCATATAATGAGATCATACAAAGTTTGATAAGTTTGACCTTGACCTTCTATTCTATTGAGATTTTCTTCGCAAATATGTGGATGTAAGAAGATGTAGATCTTCAACTGGAAGCCTGAAATAGCTAAGACTTTTAGTACACAATTATGGTTGGTGGTGCAAATCTGAATCTGTCCTGCTAATATTTTTCCGAATCCAAACCAGCTGTTCAAGCCTCTGCGAATGCCAACGGAGTGGTATAGTTGCTCTTTGAGGAGTCCTCTTAGCAAGCGAGAAACTACCCTTGCACGGCTGCCTCGCTTTGCATGCACGAGTCCTAGTTGTTCTCCTGATCCCTACGCGTATCCAGGGTCAGCATTTGGATGTTCAATGAGTTAGCTGGCTTACATGTGCCCACAGTCTGGACATCGGTAGAAGATCGTGCTACCCTCATCAGCGCTTCTCAATTGCGCCTCAGACCAGGTCATCTCCTTTGCATGGCATATTGGACATTCTCTGGCAATTCTTCGGGTGTTTTCGAGGTCTTTCGAAGTGATGTTCTGGGTCGTGGATTTGAGTTTGGTGCGAAGTGCAGATGGGAACTTGTTGCTCTTGGAAATTGTCGCCTGCGAGGAAATATTGTCTATATCCAGGATTAGAATGATAGTTTGTGGGAGCAACGGATGGAACAGCCCGACTCTTGCAAAGCCTCCCGCATATGTCACACTTCACGTGGTCATTTGTTATTTCATCAAGAATGTTTCCACAGTCATCGCAAAATTGTATTCCCATGGTCAGTAAACGCAGTGTTCCATGGACAGAGTGATCAGAAAATTGTGTGTCAATCCGCCTGCTCTGAGAAGTCCGCCAATACTTAGTACGGCGAGCTCCACCGGCTTGGCAGACACTTGAATTGTCCCTGGATGAGAGTAAGTAAGAACTTCAGTGGTGGGAGTTCTTTGCGACCTCGATTGAGTGTCTGGATCGCAATCGCGAGCTTCTGATATAATTTATGCCCCAGCAATCACAGCTGGGTAGTTGTTGGTCTTTGTTTATGTGACGAGCAATTGTGAAAAGCGTCCATGCCAAGAAACGCCGCAAGGGAGGTTTCTTGAGTGAGAGCCTCGGTTCGGTTGAAGACCAACCAGCATCTTGTCATACATGCTTGCCCTGGACATACTCCGTAAGCAAATGGTGAACTGGTGAAGAAAAATTATCCGAAGATCATGCTTTCAGGCTGAGCTGGATGGACAGTTCTCTAGCTGTGTTTCTGCGATCTTTGCAGACCTCGTCCCATGATAGTGATGCTTCGAGGTTCGAAACGGCTATCGAACTTCGCTGCACCAAGTACTGACTTGTCTAGCAGGCTCCTGCCCACTGCCACGGGGCTGTTAGTATCCCTCACAAATCCTCTCAACATTACCCTGATAACATCGCAACTTCTTTCTGCTTCAAGCCTCTGGGATGGAATTCAGGATCTACGCGCGTGCACGCGCATCTTCAATGTTTTCTATACTGCGGCAGTACAGCTATCTGAGCGATCTGCTTCTGACGCACGGTTTGGTTATTCACCAGCACCGCTGATGGAGAAGGCGTGCTGGGCAACAGCAGTTGTGAAAGGCGCAGATGACAAGTCACCTAGATGGCGGCACACTCTTATATTAGGGGCCATTCTTCTCGGGTTCGAAGAGAAGCAAAAGCAGAGTCTACCACAACATCTTCGCTCCAGGCTGGAGTCTGCCCTGCTGACCGCCACGAACCTTGCCTTGGAGCTCAACCACAGAAGTGAAAACATCGGAAAGTTCGCCATTGCTTTTGTACTCGTTCATAGTTTCGGACTGTTATCCGCGCACAACCAAGCACAATTCAACCATGATCTTATCCTGCCCCTCCTGATAGAAACGACATTCTCTTCACCAGAAGGCCTTGAACATGGGTACTGGCTGGGTGCAATCGATAGCGAGGTGATAGAAGTCACGGACAGGAAGTTCAACTGGTCCGCAAGATCAAACACATATCATCACATCCGGGAAATGCAACAACGACCTCTAGTAGCTTCATTAGGGTCTATGTCACGCCTAATGGCTTATGCTATCAGGAGTGTACACAAATCGGTCCTTTTAGTACCCACGATGGACTGCGTTGCGGAGTTTGCGAGAACACTGTGGCTTTCGTGGCGTCAAAACAAGCTCTCAGAAATCGACGTTTCGGAAGAGCTCGAATACCTTGATGCAGAATCCAGAAAAACCACTTTACCAACCCTGTGGCATCTCTTGCGATTGTCATTGTTTGCGGTTGTGATTATTTTGAGAGCCCTTATGGGTAGATTGCTCTCGGACCCGGTCCTTGCCTCCGACTCGAAAGCTCCTTTCCTCGCAATGCAATGCTTACTCATCCTTCGAAATCTATCTTTTATCTCATCGCGTCTTGGACAGATATCCTCGTCTCAGTATGTCTTTGTCAACATGGCGGCTATAGACGTTCTTACTCAATATCCAGAGCAAGCTGAAAATTTGATTCAAAGCATAAAGCCAGTCGCAAAAGGACTAATACCATCTCATCCTGCTGATCGTTGTCTGGACCTTTTCTTTTTCAATACTGCTGAGCATTTTACGCCGAGCCTTGTTCCTAAGACCAACGAGGATATAGTTCTTGCCGGCGCTATGCCGTATCTTGTCACAGGGGGTAGTAAGGTCTTGATGGAAATCTTTGAAGCCGCCCATAGCGTAGCGCTCTCTGTTCTGGCTTCACCAAACAACACGGAATTGACGGCTCGACAGCTACCATTCTACCTGGATGCACTGTTCAACTGCTTTCCAGACAGCCTTTCACCACGCCAGTTCAGGTTAGCCTTCAAAACAATTGTCAGAATATCCACACCGCCATCTGCTCTCGCTCAATCACAACCACTGCTCCCATCCATCATCTTGGAGACTATATTTGGGAGGGCTGAACGGGCGCCAACTACACCGTTGCCACAAGCGATACTCAAGCCTCAACCGATCAACCAAGAGATTCCTCTTTCCGAGCAGGCTGTGTTCGTTATGGCTATGACAGACAGCCTATGCTTCCTTCATCCTGCTCTTCTCGAAGAATGGCTTCCAATGACAGCCTCACTCGTGGCTCAGATCGAGGAGGAAGAGATGCGCAGGGCATGTCAAGATCGTTTTTGGGAAGCGATGAGTAGTGGTGAGATGGACGTTGAAAGAGCCGCGCTCTGTGTAGCATGGTGGAGCTCAAGAGGAGGCAGGGAGCTGGTTCTCCAGAACGACAATGCTCTGCAAATTGAGCCTGTAATGTCAGGGGCTTTATCAATGGATAGCAAGCTGTGACCATGCATGGCTACGAAAGATGACACCTTTCTCGTTATTTGGCAAGGTGCACGGACAACCGCTTCCTGTTGGCTATGATGCATTGACGTACCATATCTTTGCATCCTAGCTACCGCAAAACGGCCTGTGGACAGCGGTTCATAATTCACCCCAAGATTATCGAAAATGGAGCTCCTTCACAAAGACGATGTAGCTTGCCTACGTATTGGTACAGGACAAGGACGGACGGCAGTAACCACAAAACAGAATCCAGAGGTGCAAGTGTGCAAGGGAAACAAAGGACTAGCTTGGATGCCGCATCAAAGGTGACAGCTGGTGAGGCCAGCCCATGGATCACTTCCTCTGCACATATATCTCACAGACGCTGTATCCAATTTCACCAGGTCTATTATTTCTGTTCAAAAGCAAGGCCAGAGTACAATTAGTCTTGGGCAAGTGCCTACAGCATCCACAGACCAGATCATCTGCAGCTTGGTTACAACTTCTGAATCCAACTCGAGATCTACAGCATACTCATCCACTGAGTCAAAGGTCATGGCCTCCCTCCGCCGCAACAAGACTCTCTCTCCAGATGGGCAAACCGCTAAGTTTCTCTACACCATCATCAAGCAACTCGACCTTAAGGCTATTGATTGGAACCTTGTGGCTGGCAGTCTGGAGATCACGAACGGCCATGCGGCAAGAATGCGGTATAGTCGTTTCAAGCAACACATGGAAGGAGCAGTCACCCAGCCGAGAGCGCCTAGGACAAGTAAGAAAGATGGTAAGGAGGGGAAGGAGGGGAAGGAGAGGAAGGAGGTAGGCAAGAAGGGGAAGAAGAGAGGTTTCGAAGAAGACACGGATGATCAGAAAGATGCTCCAGTGTTTCCGAAAAGCGAGCCCGGACTAGCTGGTACAGGTGTAAGAGTTAAACGAGAATGTGTTGGTGGTAGCATACGCATCAAGAGCGAGACAGATCCAGAACCATCCTCTCCTGAAGTTCACATCAAACAGGAACCTGGTCTCTTTCCGAACGAACGGATTGCCGTCAGCGAAGCACCGTCTGCCACCAGGATAAAGCAAGAGCCCGAGCCTACCAATAAAAACTCCACCATCAACCCTGATATCTGGCACGTCCTCCCGCATGCGCCCAGCAACGAGACTTTTCTTCAGAACCAAGTATCGAGAGCAACTACCCTGACGAGCCAGCCTCTCGATCCTGCTCTTCGTCAATCACATCCCCTTCCAGCTCCTCAGTCGACAGTTTCGTTGGCCGACCTGGAAGTCTCTCCTCGGTCCCAAGGACCTACTATCACAGGCTCTGCAGACACCGGCACCACTCGTCGCCGCAACTTCATGACCGGTTTTGCATCAGGGCAGCAAAATGTGCTCGGTGGTTCTGCTGGCAGCAATATCGGTACTGTGCAGATCAAAGCCGAGCCTTTATCTGATATGGACTGGATGATCACTGGGCCGAACACGGACGTGATGGTGAAGAGCGAGCCGCTGGAGATTTGATCGGATGGAAGAGGGTTGGTTATCTGGCTCGGAAGTGGTGGTAACCATGGGGAAAGGGAGGCTACAGGAATGAGCTGAATTTCCCAAAGGATATGTTTATTCATTGCTATGCAGGAAACCGAGGGAGGGTCAGTAGGTTTAGAGATAGTTGGAATGTATTCGCATCACTACCAGTTTGACAGACAAGCGATGCCACCCTGACTTACACTAAGCACTACTATCCATAACTATCACAAACACTTACACACTTCACTCCGGTCCCCTCTCCTTCCGTAATTAGCACTACCCCCAAAAGGGCGGCGGCCCTCCATCACCGACCCACCTGCTCCGCTCACCCCTCCTCCTCCCAAGCCCATTCCCCACCTCCCAGACCCTAGGCCTCGAATCCGCATCCCAATTCTCCTTCCCCGGCCCATAAACCGGCACATCCCACAACCTGTCCCACCCAAACTTCCTATACCGATCCTCCTCCGTCTCCGCCCCGGCCATCTCCCCAAAGCGTCCGTTCCTCAACAACTCGCTGTCATCGAATCGTGGTTCCGCGCGCCCGATATGGCGGAAGAAGTGCTTGTTGCGGTCTTTCCGGGCCCGGCAGCGGTCATTGAGGATCTGGTTGGGTTCGAAGCGCGTCCAGTCGCCTTCGGAGAGGAGGGCTTGCAGATGCGAGCGGGGGAGGCCGTAGATGTCGAGCGGGTGGACATTGTAGATTTGGGCGTGGGCTTCGGCGCGCTGTGATAAGGGGTTTAGATTTATGAATTTATGCGCTTTTTAGCTCGGTTTTTTTGGTGTGGGTGTGGATCTTGTTGGATGTGGCGTAATGAGAGGATGGACAAGAAGAAAATTCTACTCACCGCTTGGTCACGATATCTCATCCTCCCTACTGCCTCTCTGAACTCTTTCCTTCTCTTGTCGCCGCCTACAAGGACGCCGCCGTTGGGCCAGTACGGTCCTGTGGGCCAGATGCGGTCGAGGATGGCTGGGCTGCCGCCTCGAGAGGCACGTTTTCTTTCTTCACGTAGCCAGCGGGTACGGGCTTTGCCGCTTAGCATACGTTCTTTGGCTGTCCAGTATTCGGGGGGTGTTTGGGAGAGGTGGTGGAGTTTGCGGGCTTTTGAGGCGGAGAGGGTGCGGTAGCCCAGGATGCATTCGAGAATGTCTTCCATGGTGTCTTGTATCAAGGGAAGAAGAGGTATGAAGGTGAACAGGAAGAACTGGTTGCAGGAAGTGATAGCAGAAGTGATAAGGAAGACTGAAGCAAGGATTACAGTTGGGTAGGCTGGGCAAAGAGTTCAAGGAACAGCGGGGCGTTGGCAGCAAACGGAAGCGTGCATGTGGACAGGCCAGAAAATGAATGCTGCCTTTTCGTTGCTTCTCTAAAGAGCGGTCAATCAAGAGAACACATGTTCCGGATCAGATCTGAACAGAGCAAACAATCCAAGAAGCGTTCGTGCCACCACAGGCCAAAGCAAAGGATGTACGCCAATAGAATGGTGAGATTCGGAATGCTTTCTCGGAAACTCATGCAAGCACGCAGGCCTTCTGTCAGCTGTGCTTGAGCGATTATTCGATGTGTATAATCAAATAGAGGAAGACACGCTGCAGACTGCCTTTTTTATCGAGCAGGCAGCACATACATCCAGCCCGCTATGAAGGAGCAAGAAGTAGATGGTAAAGAGTGGACTCAGTTATGAAATATGCTTCACTTTCACAGCCCAAGTCAGTTGCCCAGCGGATATTGGGATGCCAACAGCAGATGTGAAATGTGTCTGATGAAAAGCTCGAGTAATGTACCTCGTTGGAATGGGGCTCTGTCCATGCTATAAAATGATTTCAAGTGAATAGAATGTTCATAGTGAGGTATTTCCAGAAGCCCAAAATTCGCAGGGTCTATGGGAAAATTCACCATAGAGGATTAAGAACATGGGAAACTCGCCCAGTTTACTGAACAGCACGTCAGATGTAAGCTTCCGCTCATGAAGCACCAGAGCCATCTTCTTGGGTTTACAGATCTTGCTCAGAGGTCTGATAGATCTCGTCAATGCCCCCAAGACGTTCTGCTAAAGTCTTGACAAATGCCGGGGCCACATCCTCAACGCGGATACTTTCAGCGCCGTGGGCTTGCTCTGCACTGAGCCACGTGACATGCTTGCCCTCAAGACCACATGCAACGATTCGACTGAAGCCCCAGCTGAGGAAATCCTCACGATCAGTAACATTGAGCCCAATGCCGTGTGATGTAATGCCTCTTCGAACCTGAACTCCAATAGCACAGATCTTGTGTTGGCCTCCTTTTGCCCAGACACCCGGGTCCTCAGTGGTTTCGACAGCAGGAACGCCAAAGCTCGTGCAAACCGCAATGACTGTGTCTTCGAGCAGGTGAATGTAATTTCGTGGAGTGATCTTATGCCGCCGAAGATCGATTATTGGATAAGCAACAAGCTGTCCCGGCCCGTGATATGTCACCTGGCCTCCTCTTTGTGCCTCTACGACCGTGGCTCTGCCATTGCCCTCCAGGAACCGCCGTTGCTGCTCGCCCACTCTATTGAGCTGCCTTCTACCAAACGTATAGACTGGTTGGAATTCGGCAGTGATGACCGTAGGATCTGGCAGTTGTATAGTACGAGAATCTTGAAGGCCTGAGGATTTCGACTTGTGCACACGGTCTTTGGCCTGAAAATACCTTTGTAGTAGAACTTCTTGAATGTTTGCAGCATGATGGTACGAAGTCAGCGCAGGTAGTCGCAGATGAGCTAGTCGCATGGCAGATAGCACCTGTGAACTAGAAAATGTATGAGCAGCATCATAGACTCGAAAACATTACTATTTGCAAGGAGCGTTCAAGTTTGTTGTCCTCGAAGGAGGACTCTTATACGTACTAACTAACTAGCAGAGAAATCCAGCGGAACTGTCAGAACTCAATTTCGAGTCCAGAATGGCTTGGCATTTTCCAAATCACAGTCCATGTTACGAGTTGTCTACGAGATATTCACATCACACCTGCGCCCGAGCTCACTACCGGGGTCTACTACAAGGGTGCTGCCGCTCTTGCTCACCCGGTGTACGGCGGACTGTTACGGGCTTAAGGTCACATCAAATTTTCAGACCTTAGAAGTCAGAATTCAAAACTCCACACAGAGACCTCGCTACCCCCATCTTCCTATTGCTAACTACTTCCTCGTACGGCAGTTCTAATCTAGTCTCTATCTTGAACTGCATCAAAGTCATCATCTTCTGCACCATCTCCTCCCAAATCCATTTCTCGTACGGTCTCTCCCTCTGCAGGCTGCCAGTTCAATGCTCCTGTAGGCTTTGTTGATAAACCTAATTCTGGCTCATTTCCACTTCTTCAGGTCGTCTTTCACCTCCTCAGACAGCATGTCTGATTGCAGAAGGGTCTGATGCAGATTAGGATCCTCCTTCGCTCTTGGGATCTCAGTTTCCCTTTGAGTCAATGCGTCAGCTTTTCTGTTGGCAGCTCCTGGGCGATATCTGATCTTGAAGTTGTATTGAGATAACAACTCCGCCTAGCGTGCTTGCCGACGTGTCAGCTTCTTCGTTGACATGAAATACTCCAGAGCCTTGTGATCTGTGAGTATTTGGACAGGATCCTCTCCTAGCGAGCGTAGCTCCGGCGACCATTCCTCGAAACAACGGACAATAGCCAGCAGTTCCTTGTCGTAAATCGCGTAATTACGCTCTGCTGGTGCCATACTTGTTGAGAAGAATGCCACAGGATGGAGTTCTCCATCCTCCCCTTGTTGCGGGTCGCTCGCGTTGCACTCCACAACCGTCTCCTTCTCAGGGTCGAAATGAGCGAGGACTGGCTCCTTCGAAACGAGGTCCTTCAGGGCCTGGAACGCCTCAGTACAGCGGTCATCCTAGGTGCGCCCCGCATCCTTCTTTAACAGGTCATTCAGCAGCCTTGCTACCTTGCTGAATCCTAAGCAGAATCGTCGATAGAAGTTGACAAACCCCAGGAATCTCCGTACCGCGCGGACATCTCCTGGGTTGGGTTTCTCCCACTCCCGAATGACTCGTACGCGCTCTGGATCCATCTGAATGCCCTCTGGAGTCACGATCAACCTGAGATACTTCACTGACTATGTATAGAACTCGCTTTTCTTGATGTCAGCCTGAATATCACTTTCGCGGAGAATCTGTAAGACCTCTCGTACGTGTTGCTTGTGTTCTTTTCTCGATTAGCTGAAGATCAAGATGTCATCTAGGTACAGCACAACGAATTTTCCAAGCACCTTCATAAATTTCTCGTTCATGAAGCGTTGGAACGTCGCTAGCGCAGAGATTAATCCGAACAACAGTACCCTATATCAGTAGTTGCCATACGCAGTGCTAAACGTGGTAAGTTCGCAGTCCTTCTTAGTCGCCAAACGAATCCGGTAATATGCCTGTCAAATATCCAGCTTGGAGAAGACCATAGCTTTTCTAAGAAGACTCATGGTCTCGTCGATCTGAGGGATGGCGTAGCTATTCTTCTTTGTAAT